GAAAATTTAGGCGCATTTCATGTACCTACCTATACTCGTAAATCCAAGCTCACTAACATGCATCAGGCTTATGTTACACGGATACATGACTCCATAGGCTGATTTATCCATATCCGATTAGATAGTCCAGCTTCTACTCGCTGATCTCAGACAGTACTCACTACCTCACGACAAAAACCCCGATTGTCCTCGTTCGTTGTCGTACATTTCGTATGCAAATCTGGCGGAAGACCTCTATCAGCCTGTCCATTCTGTCATGGTGGATCTGAGTGAGACACTCAGCAGCCGCACATTTCATCTTGGCAACTCCATTTGATCGACAGAGTGATTTTATCAGCACATGCACGCCCGGACGAAAAAGCGACCTAATCTATCATCTGGAGGGAACAGAACGGCTGATTTAGTCTGGTGCACTGCAGGGGTGCGGTCTCTAGTCGACCTGTGAAAATCTCCGACGCCCAGTGCGATAAGACGCATGATCATTGACGATCTTGATGGATTGATGTGTTTATTTGAACTTGATACTTTGTTTGCACATTGCATGCTTTGCATTAAGAAACATAGTACAATAAGGGCAATACCTACATAACAATAAAACATAGCAGTACTTTTAACAACAGCTACTTGTTAAAAGTAAAACGGCCTAAGTTACTTGATACACCAAATTTCAACGGGTTTAAATGCACTCCCTGTACGAAAGAATTGCTTGAATGTCTCGTCTGGTGCCTTGACAAGTTTAAAAGCAGTCCAATTGGAGATATACTTCCTTGAAACCTGTTGTTGGCACGTCCGCTGTGGCCAATGATGTAGCTAGCCTTCGAAGTTCCCGAATTCTGTTTAATTTCTTTACCAAGTTTTTTTTTGCCTATCATGTTATTTCATAAGCATCAATGGCTAGGTATGAGTTTTCTCCTGATTTCCATTAGAAATTATACGAAAATAAGATGCACAAGGGAGTTCATATGCAAATAGATGACATGGGCTAGGCAAATGACAATTCATTAACATTTACCCGCGCCCGGCTGGGGGCAGGGGCTCCGCCACAGGGGGGTACGCGGGGGTCCGGACCCCCTCAATAATTCCCATGGGGGGTACAGTACCCCCCAATATTCCGAATACCTGTAACCTTGTTTTGCGTTAGAATGACTAAATCATTCACAGAATGTGTTGAATAATTTAATTAGAATGTGTTGATGGTCGCAAAGCTAAGGAAATTAAGATCTAGAAATGTAGGGAAACACGAAGATGTTGTGACACACGAAGTGCTCAACAATCGCCGACCTATATTTATGGGAGTGTCATTATTCTACCATTTTGTTATTACTATGAATGCGTTTAGGATTGCTAGGATTAACTTAGCATGCTAGAATTTGGCAATAATGTCGTGAGAGGGGTCCAGCTTGCAGGACACCTAGACACAACACCCGCCCCAAAAGAGCTTCAAATCGATCTGAGAACCCTCTTTCCATGTGAGATCATCCGATAGTGTGTGTATGTGTGTGTGTGTGGGGGGGGGGGGTAAGCTGGTCTTTTGAGCACCATACTAGTCTGAGAGCCTAATGCGCTGTCTGATGGCTATCACCGCCCTTGGAGCGCGCAACAGCGGCCTCCTTTCCTTAAGAACGTTGATTTGAGAGGCCGCCATGTCGGTGTCATTGAGCTCCGCTTCTCGGTTTTCGACTCCTCTTGCAAACTGAACCTTGTTTTTTCGGTTCATAAAGCAAAATCCTCCCGATAGAATTGTTAAGTTTCCTATGAACTCTAGAAAAAACGGCAATTTTTCATCGATTTCGGGAGCTGCAGGGGGGTGGGGTGGGGGTAGGGGTGGGGGTGAATTAGCCCAAAATGCCCACCTTGGATCCGCCAGCGAGGTTTTGTGTTTTTGGTCGGACCCCCCCAATCCCAAAACCGTGGCGGAGCCCCTGGCTGGGGGTCCTGGATTTCCACACCCTGCTGGGGCTTCTAACTCGGCTCCTGGGCCACGTAGCGATACGGGAAAGGCGGCGTTCGAAAGAGCGTCAAAAATGAGGAAGAAATCACTTCGGTCACTTTTTTGGTCAGATCAAAGGTCAGGTCAGCAGAGGTCATTGAAGGCCAAAATTCGCCGTTTTGTAGGTCAGATGTCGACAAGTTTCAACAAATCGACGCACAGCTCGGAAACTTATAAAGCTACGGCGCCGCGGAAAAGCTCATTTGATAGCCCTATTAACGCTCTTTCTGAGTAATTCTCTCGGATTTGGCCTACCGTCAACGGTTTTGCCTGCAGGGGGCAAAAACTGTCAAAATAGCCGATTTTTCTGAAACGGTTTTCCTGCAATAGCTTCTGACTCAAACCTTGTACTAGCTTTCTTTTACCAGCATCGTTTTCCTTTCGTCAAGACGCATCGAATGGATTATCACTTGACCTTGAAAGGTCAACTTGAAAAAATTGATCTCAGGTCAAGGTCATGACCTGACCGGTAAGGGTCAAGCTGCATATCAGACAATCCGTATCGTCGAGCCAAATACAACTAAGGTGTTTTCATCGCTCTAGCATGCCTCTATCACCAGTATAACGCCTTTTGGGGCGACTAACGGAGCGAGCGAGAGGGTGAGCCTTGCACGTGCGAAATTTCGACGGGGTACCTCCAGCTGACTTGTGCACGGCACCCTACTAACCGATCTCTAGCGATGTGCCAAATTTGAGCACAATCGGCTCAGCCGTTCTCGAGATCTGGAAGCGGCACCCTGCACGTGCGCACGTGCAAAATGGGTCCCAATTGACTTTTGCACGGCACCCTACTAACCGGTCCCTAACCATGTGCCAAATTTGAGCGCCATCGGTCCAGCCGTTCTCGAGATCTGGAATCGACCCCTGCACGTGCGCACGTGCAGCAGCACCCCAACTCTGGCACATGGATATGCAATGCCTACCTACATACCAACTTTCAGCGCAATCGGCCAAGAAGTTACCGAGATATTGCAACAATTACAAAAGTGACACCTCTTCGTTTTGCACGTGGCACGTGCATAAGGGGTCACCCACATGCATCGGGAATAGTCCAATACTTGGTAGAAGGAATGAAGCTACCCTACAAAAATTACCGCGTGTAAATCGGTCAAGTGGTTCCTGAGATATAAGCGTCGCAGAACCGTGACCACGGCCGGCCGGCCGGCCGGCCGGCCGCTCATACTCAGAAATTTCCGTTAATCTAAGGAAAGACTACGCTCGCTTCGCTCGCTCCGTAAAAAAGTTAAGGCCTGGCTACACTATGCGTTTTCTGCGTGCGTTTTATGCGAGTTTGCGTGTTTTGTGTAATACCGTTCTAGAAAAAGGTTATTATTAATTTAACTTCTTTAATATTTATATAAAAGTTAATAAGACTTTTATGTTAATTAAAACTTCATATAAAAAACATATAACCAGTATAACACCTTTTGGGGCGACTAACGGAGCGAGCGAGACGGTGGGCCTTGCACGTGCGAAATTGCGAGGGGGTACCTCCAACTGACTTGTGCACTGCACCCTCCTAGCCGGTCTCCAGCGAGGTGCCAAATTTGAGCACAATCGGCCCAGCCGTTCTCGAGATCTGGAAGCGGCACCCTGCACGTGCGCACGCGCAAAATGGGTTCCAGCTGACTTTTTCACGGCACCCTACTAACCGGTCCCTAACCGCGTACCAAATTTGAGCGCAATCGGTCCAGCCGTTCTCGAGATCTGGAATCGACCCCTGCACGTGCGCACGTGCAGCATCACCCCAACTGTGGCACATGGATATGCATTACCTAGTGGGTGCCTACCTACCTGCGAACTTTCAGCGCAATCGGCCTCGTGGTTACCGAGATATTGCAACAATTACAAAAGTGACACCTCTTCGTTTTGCACGTGGCACGTGCATAAGGGGTCACCCACATGCATCAGCAATAGTCCAATACTTGGTAGAAGGAATGAAGCTACCCTACAAAAATTACCGCGCGTAAATCGGTCAAGTGGTTGCTGAGATATAAGCCTCGCAAAAGCGTGACCACGGCCGGCCGCTCATACTCAGAAATTTCCGTTAATCTAAGGAAAGACTACGCTCGCTTCGCTCGCTCCGTAACAAAAACGTAATGTCGTTTCTTTCTAGAACGATATTCCGCAAATCACGCAAACTCGCAAAAAAACGCACGCAGAAAACGCATAGTGTAGCCAGGGCTTTATTGGCGAAAAACAGTCAGATACCATTGGTGACCTGAGCTGAGATGACCTCAGGGGCATAAAAAGGGGTCACGGGTGCCATTTTCATGTTCAGTGTGTCAAAAATACTAGTAATTCAGTGTTTTAGAGTGTTCGTAATAACTTCCGTGTAAAAAAGGCGACTTTCAATTTTCTCCCATTGACTTATAATGAGAAGGTCGCAAAATTAACCTGACCTTAGGTCATCGATATCAAAATTCCAAGATAAAAATTTTGTACATTATGTTGCTCTTATCAATCCCTGAAAGTTTCAAAGCGATAGGTCACTCGGTGTAGTTTTGGCAGACATTGAAACTTTTTCTTGACCTGACCTGTTGACCTGACCTTAAATGAACTGGGTCACAACCCATGTATGATAAAATGTGCCCGTTTTTTAGATATTCACGAAAAACCATATGGGGGAGGGGTGTTCAACCCCCCCCCCCAGCATGGCGCGGGTTAAAGCTCATCTTATACCTATACGAAGCCACCTGTTGTATACGTTATAGGTGGACTGGTTTCAGTTCCTTTTTTTGTGCCCCGTTGCTTAAAGTGCAAACGAACGAATAGTGCATCCCGGATATAACACAAATCAATTATCATCGTATTTATTCATCACAGTATGAACTGTGATTGTTCGTCATCAATAGCTATTGCCATAGCCGTGCAACGCCCCCCTTCCCGAAGCGTCTTCTCTGGATCACTGGGTCAACCGGCACTGGGTCAGCGGCCAGGCACGCGGCCTTGCTGACCTTGAACGGCCTTGCACTGCAGCCACCATCTCTCCCCTTCCGATCGTTTTCAGAGGTAACAGTATCGTAAACTCTGCACCCAACACCAGCCCCAACCTGTCCAGGTCATCATCCAATCAGCCCCTGCCACAGGGGAGCATCGCTGCCCCCTGGGCTGACCGCTGGGGCTAGGTAGCCGGCGGGCGAGCGGGCCGGGCCGGCGGGCGGCGGCGGCGGCGGCGGCGGCAGCGGCGGCGGTACTGGAAAGGGAGAGTGAGCCGCCAGCCCGTGCTCCGATGATCGTCGTATAAAATGAAAGCGGCACAGGCATGGGCATCGTATTCGCCGCCTAGAGTCGGAGCTCGACACACCTCAGGTAGGTGCTCCGAGCTGTGCCGTCCCCGTGTGCTGCGTGTCTGTGCCCGCCGCCTGCCAACCGACCGACCGACGCTGGAGCCACGGCGTGCCGAGAGCGACTCGGTGGGCCCCAGGACTCGTGGTGCGCGCCCAACATACCGTGCGGATACAGTGCTGTGCTGGCGGCGGCCTATACAGTGCCACGGACACTATCGGAGCGGACCGCGGTGCCACGAAAGGCTCTAAGAGTTACAGTGGATCAGTGCTCGGAAAATGAAGTGCTGCCGAGGAGAGAAGTCCGAGCGAGGCTCACCGACTTTGTGCTCCCGTTACCTTCCAAAGCAAACGAAAAATATCGGCATTTTTGGCGATATAGCCATTTCAGACTTAACATAAAGTCATCTTTTGCTAGTAAAATACTTTTATGCTAAAGTAAGCTAGAGAGAAAAATAAAATCTTTGGATAATTCTGTAATATTTTATCCCGAAAAAAAAAAACTTTTATATGAAACGTCAATGTAAATTACATTCTCAATTTCTCTGGAGATGTCTCACATTCTCAGTTTATCAGATTCAGTCTCACGTTCTCAGTTTGTCCGAGCCAGTCTCATTTTCTCAGTCTGTCTGAGCGCGCCTCACGTTCTCAGTTTGTCTCACGTGGTCCGAGCACGTGCGCTCTGTGTAGTGGCGTCAGACTGAGACACAGTGGCCGATCAGTCAGGGCCAGCGTCCCACACCGCTCCGCGTCCGTCGTGCCGCCGCCGCCGCCGCCAGCACCGTCCGTCACCCCTACAATCGCTCACTGACCACCTATCTGCAATTCAATGAATCTGTTCGGTGCATGACCGCCGAAACAACAAACTTTATATAATAATTCGGTTCATATTTTTCATTGTTTCATCTTGCACTTAATCAAATGTTTCTTAAACTTTGGATATAATGGTGTTCCCTTCCCTGGCTGCAAAAGGATCCTACTTTTTCATAAAGCAAAAACTAATATGAAAGCAAATGCCTTTGTCATTTGTGTGTCACTGTAAATTCGGTACTTGGGCTTGAACACAATGCCTCCAATTTGACACGGTAGAAAATGAAACTGTAATTGTCAATTTTAGCTGACTCATGGTAGAGTTCAATTGTCAAGGAATGACTTGCATTTATTTAGAGAAATGTAATAGAAGCGCAGCAGTGCTATAATTGCAAAGTGAGGTGATAAGCATTTACAACTATTCTTATCACTATACCTATTCATTCGTTCACACAAATAGACCTCGCCTAAATTTGCCGCTTATCGTACTTTGTTCAGAATCCTCCTCAAATACATTTACCGACAGTAGTCTCCATTTGTTACGCACCTCTTACAGTCAACTGTGACAACATGATCGCAAATTTACCCATTAGATCTATCACTTCTTGACACGTGGATGAATACGGCGTCTGATTAGCATATTTCTGACCTGATCGCCAGGCGATGTATGCCCATGAATAATTCAAATGGTTCAATCGCTCATTTCATACCATCTCGATTCTAAGCATTCTCCATCGGAGAACAATGTCCATACTGGTGATTCACCTGTCTATGTTTCCAAGTAAAGAGTACGTCATTTGGAACAAACATGGTTGCACGCAGTGCAGTGCATCAAACCTAATTCACATGCTAAAGATTTGAATACGTATCCAACAAATTTCAACGTCTCTCATCCATCTTTCACCACTCACAGGACTAGAAATAACTGTGCTGGAAAAAGAAAATTGTGGTCGAAATTATTCAAGCTTTAGTGTGGTAGAGTTTGGACATTCTTCAATTTATCGACTTGTCCTAAGAGTATGCCTCATTATTGTGGTTAAAACCTCGTGTAAAAGTGATGAACTCATCCACATGTTTCTATTACTGAGCATTACGCAGCAATCCAGCGGCGGCCCGTGAAATTGCCAGCGTCGAGTTTATCTGGTCAGTGGTGAAACCACGCGCCAGGGGGCCGCCTCCGGTACCCCACGCTGTTTTCCAGAGCTTCATCATTTTCTTGTGGCACCATCTCATTGTGAACATTCATTGTTAGCTAATCCACACGAAAACAAGATGGCAAAACATAACATAAATTAGCGTGCGGAGTTTTTCACGATGGAAACTGGTTGTGACAGTCCTGGCAGGGTTCCAATGGTAGAGCGTCTTCTTTTGGCACAGCGGTTATAAAAAGGCGCTGCTTTTACAGAGCTAGCGTTTATTAAATGCACCTGCTCTCGCGATGATGAGTCAGCGATTGCACTGAGTACTTTGAAAGTATGGACGCAACTGCTCTAGCGTTGCTGATTTTGCAGTAAAGACCAATGGTATCTTCGATTGCTTGTTGTAGGAAAACGTCAAATAAATGGACGTTAGTTATAAGTCTATTATCCGTCAATAAATTATATTTTATGGCTTTAATCCGCTCACCAAAGTCCCCTTCAAATGAATATTTATCAATCGCATAAACCAGCAAAACTCTGTCGCTGTTCTACTGAATCACGCTAGCTTCTTGTTTTCCGTTGGAGTCACTGGAACGCTTCTTGTACCTCCGTTGCACTCACTCCACTTCTGCCTAGAATCCCGCCAAAAGAAAAACATGCACCAACAAATATGCAATTAGCGATATACATATAGTCAATAATATCATAGCCATCCATATTATCTAGATCATATGGTTCTCACTTTCTCACAAAGATCCACACCTTCCGCGTTATTTCCCGGTATTCCCGGTAGCCCGAGGCCGGTCAACGAAACTGAAACTGGTCCGCCTGGGTCCCAGGCCGCTCTCGCCGGTCGCCGACGGGGTTCGTTACGTGGCACTTCATGGAGAGTGAGTGAGACCGGCCCGGCTGGCCGCCGGCACCGACTCCAAATCGAGTCATTAGAGCCGCTTTCCCGGCGTCTGGCCAGCAGCGCTCCCGGCCGTGGGTCGGAGTCCACTCGGTCGGGTGTTACCGGGAGCCCCGGGCCGGCAGCCTCCGACCGCTCCCGTTTTCCACCTGGGCGCGGCCGCCCGCTCCGCTTGCAGGAGAAAGGGCACGCGCGTCTGGCCCGAGATCTGGGCAGATGCCGAACGGTGCCTACTGGCTGCGTACGCCGCCGGAACAAGCCAGCACAAAAAGCTGGCCGCGGTCACGCACGGCCGCCGACTGCTCAACTGGAACGCAGTGATGTTCCTGAGTTGTCTGAGATGGGCTCAAAACTTTCTGAAATTCTCCAAACACTGGAGCCGCCACTCTCGGATGACTGCCCTGTGAGAATCGTGTGATTTCCTTTCCCAGAGGTTTCGGATCGCCCGACCGCCGGGTCTTAATCGAGTATCACTCTGAGAAGGCAACCACTTTGTGGTTGGAGCTTCCATCGGATTCTTCCCAGCTCCGCCCTATGGGAGATTCCTCTGGGAGAGAGCTGTCTGGGATGAGGTGATGGGGACACTCCCATGCTCTTATTCTCCCCGCATTTCATACGGAAATTGTGAGCAGAACTAAGACGCTGACGCCGTGTCTATTCTGACGTCTCTATCTCATCGAGCTGACCCTCTATGGGCCGAGAAAGCAGCCCAGTTATGCAAAACGGCTTGGAAGAGTTAATCAACTTCATCAGGTGATTACCCCATCGGAGCAGATTAATTGGTGCGCGCGTGAAAACGGCAGTTTTCCAATCACCTCTCGTTCTTTATTCTAGCACCAAAACACATCCATTGGAAGCCCAGCCTTCCGATAAAAAGTGACAAATTTCCACAGGGTGTGCAGTAATGGTAGGTCGTTAATTCGGTCCGCCCGACACCGAGGCTGAGCCTCCCCGCGGGAGCCGGTTATCTCCAATCAGCACCTCGGTCAGCGCCGGTCCTAAAGCAGCGGGGAGCAGCTACGGCTCTCTCACCAGCTCACCACGCTCCAGTCTCTGAACGTTCTCTGTGGACCTCATCTGGCCGCGCCCCACACGGCGCTCGTGAGAGCTGTCAGCTGCTCCCTGGCGCTGCTCCTCAGGAGCCAGCTAAAGAGAGCAACTCTGTGCTGGTCTCGTCATCCCACTCTATGCTGACTGGGCTTGTTGCGAGGTGACAGTGATGCTCAGAGGCTGTCGTTTTTCGTCATGGCGTACAGCCACAGTCATTGGTCGGCCAAGGGCACCTTTTCCAGAGCTGTGACCAAACGGTGCTCAGTGCGAGCGCCGGTTTGCGGTCGGCTGGCCGCACCGCGGTCTCGCTGTCCCCGGACGCAACTGTCTCGCTGTTTGATTAACTGGGTAACTCGCTGTTTCGCCAAACGCCGCGGCGAGTGTGACGCAACCGGGGAAGGGCCTGCGCCGGCCAACTTTCCGCTAGGTGAAGCTGAGCTGTAACCGGCATACCGGCCTTTCAAAACGTCACAGCTGCCAGCTCCACGCCGGCCACGGCGAGCAGGCCTTTTGAGCTTCAGTTTTCACTCTGGCTATTTGCCAGTTTCACGGTGCGTTGCAGGCTTCCTGATTCTCCCTTTATACCCTCCACACTGAACGCCAGATTCGTGACATTCGCATGGGAATTACGAATGGCCATCAGCTCGCGGCTCTATTCACAGCGGCCGGTAGCCGCCCGGCGTGACTGAGGGCCCGGTGAGTCGGCGACTTTTCCCGTGTCGGACTCGTGTCGGCGCGTGTCCAGTCGGTGACATCGCGAGCTGAGAGCCGGGGTGTCCGCGCCACACGACACCGGTGGATGCAGCGGTGATAAGGGCGGCACCTCACGAACTCCGGTCCGGGGAGGGCGAAAACAGCACCGCCATACAACGCTTAGAATTCGTGTTTGCATTGTAACGAGAGTCTCACCCGAGTAATTGGCTTGTTACAACAAAATTTTTAGTTTTCTTTGTGGGGGATTGAAATTGTTTCCCAGATCACTTTCAGCAAGTAATTTAAAGATATTAATGCGTGTTCTTTACGTTTACGATAAAACTGGTTTCAATCTATCGTTGGAACTTCAAATCAAACAGCATAACGCTTCTGTAAGCATTTCATAATGCAGTTATCTTCTGACAAAAAGCAGGGATGGTCTCATGATCACAGGACACCGCAGCGCCGCCAGTGTTGTTTTTATGGCCGTTTTCTGGACGTTTCTGGTCATTGTCGGTGACAGTTTCGACACTGGCGTCGGCGGCTGCCATTGTTATATGGCTGCTCAGCAGAGCGCTGGCGAAAGGCACGGCCGTCTGTGTGCGCGGAGCGCTCACTCGAGACTGTGTTAATGGTGCAGTGTGGCGGCGCGCCGGCACGCGTCCAAAACCGCCCGGTCATGGCCCCCACTGGATACTTATTGCACGCCTATTGTCGACACGCAACCTCGCCGACAATGACTATGTGCACCGACTATTTGGAGCTGAGCTGGTTTGCGCTGAGGTAATCATCATTTCAGGCGGAATTCCATTAGTGTTATCCGTTTGTTTTCATGTTGAGCCGGTCGCGATCGCAATGTTTGGCTCGCTTCCAGACCGGACGGACGCTAAAGGTCGCTTTCATTTCTGAGGAGAGGAGAGCTGTCGGTCGGCCGGTTCGTCGCCTGCATTCACGTCAGATCACTTTCACGCCGGCTGCCGTTCGTCTTCCTTATATGTCATTGCAAATCCAACGGTGAATTGGCACAGCTCCAATTGAAAGTCACACTCTTGGTCATCACTTGCGCTAAGGATTAGCTATTGCGGGGATATAAATAATGACGTAATGCTTAATTTCACTCCCTATGGGTAAAGGTGAATGATTGATGCTTCCCTCTGGCCATACTTAATCTTCATAAGCCGCATTCCTGCTCCTCGTCTCTCTCCGCTTCGTCCTCCCCTCTTTCCGACACCATGGCCTGCCCTGCGGGATGATCGACTTTCGTCGGCGGTTCGCGGTGCCTTTGACCGGACACTTTCGCTGCCACCAGCTGAAGTTTGCCCTGGGGAGGTCGGTTCGTGCTGGCCTCTCCTGGCCCAGTGCCAGCCTCCCCTCCCCTCTCCCCATCCCTGACGCTCCCCCCCCCCCCCCAGCATGACCCGGAACCGGCGCAGGGTTCGGTGACGCTGCCGTGGGCGTCCGCTGTCCATCTCGGTCGCCCACCTCTGCTGCGCGCATCACTCAGTGCGGGGCCCCCAGTGGCTCCGTCACAGTAGGGGCCTCTCGGATATATTTTCATTCGATTGGCAGCCCTCACACGGTTACATAATGCACAAGGGGCGCCGCCGGTGCAGGCGACACCACCGGGTGCCTAATTCAATTCAGAGCTCGGTACGCTGTCACCTGCCGCCCTGTCGGTAATCGGTCGGTAATGCGCCGGACGTGTTCGGCCGGTCCAGACCGGGTGACGTCACAGACCAGTGACGTCACGGCCCGTCACCGGTGTGACGGACGGTGGCGGGCCGTCACACACGGATAATGTCTGTTTGTTGGCCGGCGTGGTTGCGGTAGGTCTGCGGTGCGCCCCGAGGCCGCGCGCTGCCGCCCGGCTCCGGTTGAACACACCGCCCGTCATGGACCGGTCGGCATGAGCTCACCCAGCCGCCTTTCGCCGGGCCCCCGGGCTGATCGACGTGCCCGCGGGGTACTATCAATCACCCGCCGCAGCCCAGCTGGTCGGCGGCTCCTGATTTCTCCCGCACAAAAGGATAGCCCGTAAACCACCGGATAGAGTTTCAAATGGTTCAGACCAAATATGGGAGCACAGGAATCATGGTGTTCTTAAGATCACTTATCATCAAATAATCAAAATGCGTTTCTTGCTGGGTCATTAGTGCTTCGCTGCTCGTGCTGTTTCATAACCGATCAAAAATGTCATCATCTCAGCCTGCCCGACCATTTGTCGCTTTCGTATTTCGGCATCTTCCCATTGTCTAATGATGATATGATCAGGCCGGCGGCTTTCGTTTTCCTCTGGACCCGCTCTCGCTCAGTGTTTCTCCATCAGCCTCGTTATCTGGCTGTTTCACTTCCTTTTCGGCCGGCTGTCGGGCGCAGCCATGCGAGCCGAGAGGCCAGCAGGCGCCAGTCACGCTCCTCGGCATTGAGTGTCTCATGCTGTCTCCGGGCGGCAGTGTCTCCGTCTCTGTCTGTCGCTCTGCTGCGCCACATCTGACGGCGTCTCTCTCCCTCCACAGACATGCTGCGAAACGCTCTACTGCTGGCTCTGGTGGCCGTCTGGGTGGCCAGCGGCGACCCCGACCCCAAGCCCGAGGCCAAGCCCGAGGCGCGCCGCGGCCGCCGGCCAGCTCTGCGCGCCGGCTACGGCGCCCCGGCCCTGTCCCCGTCCTACGGCCCGCCGGCCCCCAGCTACGGCCCGCCGGCGCCCACCTATGGCGCCCCGGCGCCCGTCTACGGCGCCCCGGCGCCCAGCTACGGCCCGCCGGCGCCCGCGTACGGCCCGCCCGCCGTCGAGAAGCCCGTCTGCTACGCCAAGACCCAGTTCAAGACCACCTGGGGCAAGATGACGCAGTACAAGACCCACTGGGCCACCGAGAACCAGGTGATTCCGTACACCATGTACAAGTACGTCACCGAGACTCTGTACTGGCCGACCACCGTCACCGAGTGGAAGGAGATCATCAAGACCCTGCCGTACAAGCTGCTCACTGAGACCCAGGTGGTCTACAAGACCAAGGCTCTAGTGGAGAAGCACCCCGACTACACCAACACCGAGTACGTGTGGCACACGCACAACTACATGGACCACCACACCGTCACCAAGCACATCACCAAGTACGCCACCAAGACCAACTACTACACCGACACTGTCACCGAGTACGTCAAGAAGCCCGAGTACCACACCGAGACCCAGACCGAGTACGAGACCAAGTACCACACCAAGAAGGTCCAGGAGCCCTACTATGAGACCGTCTACGTGAGTATTACTCTTCTCAGTCTAGAGCGATGATTTTCAGTACCAGTTGAATTAATGCGAATTCTAGAACGGTTCCGGGATGAAACGGATAAATTGCAGCTGATGATTTAATGCAATCCGATTTAAACAGACACTCCAGTAATCTAACCACAAAGCCGACACATTGCGCAACTTCTTTTCAAGCTTGCAAGCAAGAGGCTTATGCGTAACGAGGTGTCTTAGCCCATCACTGGGAGACCAGTTCCGCGGCCGACTGCTTCACTCTGCCCGTTCTATTTCTCAGAAAACCGTGAAGAAGCCCCAGCCGATGTACGTGACTGAGTACGCCACCAAGCACCAGTACCAGACGGTGTACGCCACGCACACGCAGCACGAGTACCACACCGTCACCAAGTGCCCGAGCACCAGCTACGGCCCGCCCTCCTACTAAAACTGCCGCAGGTCAGTAACTTGGGCTTCATGGTCCACGGAAGATGTGCCAGCACACTGGAGAGCGGTCATCACGAGTTTATAAATGTGGGCACTTTGAGCTAGATGTTTAAGCGATCAATCAGCAAAGCGCGGTTGATAGAAATTCTAGTCTCGGTAAATTCTGCGCGGCCCGCGCCGTTCAATCACCATTGCGGCTGCTCGGTGTCGGTTTGACACCGCGGATGTCCTCCGCCTGTCGGACGACACGCGATCTGTCGCTTAGACCGGCCTCCCGCGCCGCCATCCATCAGTGCCCGGACGTCGGTGGCGTGCCTCTGCGGTCACCGCAGGGTGATTATGTCGTTGCACGCAGCGCTTCGCGTCCGATGTCTCACTCACACGGCCGGCCGACAGGCCCGCTTTGTGGCACGAGCCGCCATGCAAATTGAGGCCCGTTTTTGTCGGCATTGGGCGGCAGCTACAGCAGCTAGTGTTTCCTTTGCAGCACCCTGCTGTGCTCTACCACTCCTCACGCGGTGGGACAGTGCCAGTCCTGCTAAAAATTCAGCACACGCCGCGGCGTGTCGGTGCCACACACGCGAGCTCGTTCGCGCTGTCAAACGGTCTGACCCGCGATGACCTCTCGCCGGGAGGCTGTTATCGCCGTCGGAGGCTCGCCAGGTCGCCGGGTCACGAGCCGCCCCGCCGCGGGTCACGAGAGCGTGCCGAATGGTGCGCGCCGCCCGCTCCCGGCGCCGCGCCGGCTGCGTTCCGAGCGGCCTGCTCTGGTTGCGTCAGGCGCCCGTGATCGGTGCGCTCAATGACATCAGAGGCGACGGGCGCGGGAACGCCCCGGGCTGCGCGAGCGCGCGGTCACCGCAGTGTCCTTGCGCCGCTTTCGCTCCGTCCTTCGCTCCCGTTTTCACTTTCGGCGGGCGGGTTTCACCGGGGCGGGTCCGCGTCTGTGTTTCTCTGCCTGCGGCGTCGCCAGCTCTCCATCTGGACACGGGCCAGATCATAGCTCCCACCTCCCCTCCCCTCCCCTCTCATGGACGGCGGCCGCTCGCGGCGGCACATTAGCGCCGGGCCTGATGAAGAGCCCTGGCCGATACCGCACGCGCCGGTCCCACGCCACTCTCGGTTTCCGTTTCGGTATTACACCATTCACGCTGAACTCGTCTGACCGGCAGCGAAGAGCAGCCCGGCAGCTCCTGTTGATTCTTTTTGCGGCGTTTCTTGCGCACTACAGAACTGGACTGGAGTAGGTGAAAGGAGTCGTCGGCACGGGCCACGAATATGGCAGCTGCTCCGTTTCGCGGCCGGCGGCCCGTCGAACACTTTCGCCCCGCCCAAAGGCATAGACAGCGGTGCTTACCTCAACGGAACCCCGCTGTGGCCCATCCGCGTGACCCAGCGGGCTGCCCGCGCCGCCTCTACAAGGTGGTCCCATCCGTCACAGCCTGATCAGAGATCGCATCAGGCGCACACCCGCGCGGCATCCCGCGCCGGTCGTGTGGCTCCGCCCTCCACATCAGCGTGTTGGTGCACTCCCCGGGCGTTTTTACTCCGCCCTGCTTTGAATACACCCGGGAGCCACCCGACCGGCCGCTGTTTCCACTGCACGACTCAGTGAGGCCGGCAGAGACACGCCACATCTCTCTGAGTTGCTGTCAGCTCATCCGGAACCGAGCTCAGTGACGGCCGGGCGCCGCGGCGCCTCCCCGGTGCTTCCTTGTCGCCGCTGTCTATCGGACCAGAGTCATGGCTGGCGCGCTTTAGAAACCGTCGCGTCACCATCGGCCCCACTGCGCCGCAATGGCCGTGGACGGCTACCAGAGAGCCCGGCTTTCTCCGGGCATTCACACTCGGGGCGGATGGACACGGCCGCGGACGTGGTGTCCACGACTCGTGCCGCCTCGTCCCGCTCCGACCGCACCCGAGCTGACCAGGCTCGTGGCATCGTTCGGAGCCTCCCTGAGCCCCCGGAGTCATCCGGAGTCGTCCGAGTCATTCTGACTCGTCAGGAACGCCGGTGCTAAAGCCTCGACTCGTTGGCACGCACGCACATGTCTCAGTGACACCGTGTGAGCTTGCGTGACAGTTGAGTGACAGGTAGCCGTGTGAAGCGCTAACTGGTCATAATAGCCCGGAGAGCTGTTCAGTATGTTTGCTCACTTGATTTAGCTGCCGGAGCCGTTCGCCAACGCGTTTGTTTACAGAGTCGTTCCGTGAGAGGCTCGTAAACCCCACAACAATAGGTGTTAGTTCTCGGTAGAATCCTAGGTGGCGAGAATGACGCGGCGGTTTGACTGACCTGCCACCTCTCTCTGTTTCAGATCGTAGCCGACCGCGGTCGCCTGGCCCGACAGGTCGCAGCGCCTCCATCTCGGCGCCGCCGCCACTCCACCGGTGACCTGACCTGACCCGACCTGGGTCGTCGCGCCAGCCGGCCGTGCGCCGCCAGTCTTTCAGGGGACACCCGGTCCGCACTGGTCACTGCCGCTGGGTCGGAGGGTGCCCGCCGCGGCGCCCGCACCCCTGCGCCCCGGCAGCGGACCCTGGACGGTGTTCCCGCCAGCGTCACACTCACCTGGTCACAAAATTACTCAACGCCTCGCCGAGACTTCGGCGGTGGCTCAAACGGGTGGCGTGCACATTTCCGCGGGCACGGAGTGGCGCCTGGTGGTCTCGGGCGCCCTCCTCCCTCACTGGAATGAGTGATCATTGTGTGCAAGCCAGTGCTAGAATTGTTTTAGTTATATTCACCTACATTAGCTGTTATCTGTCTCTGAGTTTTCATCCCAGTGCGATTGTTGTTGCCTCACTCCTCTGAGTGGCTGGGGACTGTTCCCGGCCACACAGCTTTTATAAATTATTGTAATATGCATACCTGCCTGTTGTTCTTCTGTAAATACATGAGAGGATTTTTGTAACAAGCTGTTTAAACGGTTGTGGTGCAGCGAGATGCGTCCAATAAAACAAGCCTCAAAGGGCCTCGTTACACAGCAACTTATGCCTTCACTTAACAGGAATGATTTTATTCGCCACCTAACTGGGCCGGGATGTTTAGTTTAAATTTTCCATATCACGGTTGGCTGGGCAGTGGGCAGGGTACTCTGAATCACATCCATATTTTTGATACCACTGTTCTGGTTTTCAAAATGCAAGCATTATTCTGACAGCTCCGCAAATTTGTCTAAAATGATATAATTAGGTCTACCTCGAGAGGTAACTATTGTTGACATCAAAGGCTGTGAAATTTGACCTAAGGTCTACAGTTTGGATTGCAGAATGCCAAATCCGTCAAAATTGAGCTTTGTGCCGAAGAAGTTGTTTTTTTACAAGAACTTTTGACCCGAAAATTAGCCTGCGCCAGGCCAGGGCTCAGCGCCAACAGCGCCGGGCTGGGGAAGTTTGAACACCCCTCTCTAACTCGGCTTATGAGTTATGAGCCACGTAGCGCCACGCGGTAAGCGGTATTCGAGAGAGGGAAAAAATCATGGCGAAAGTAGTTCAGTCATTTTTTAGGTCATGAGAAAGGTCAGGTCACCAAAGGTCATCAAATGCAGATTTTCCCTATTCAACATTTTTTTTTTTTTTTAATCGGGGCATATCTCGGGAGCCAACAGAGCTACAGCGCAGCAGAAAAGCACATTCAATGGCTTTTTAACGTTTTTGTGTGGAATACACCTCAGATTCGACCTAAAACAAACGGTTTAGCCTCCAGAGAGCAAGAACTCTTAAAATAGCAGTTAATATGAAACATGTTTTCTGCACGTGTAATACCTTTTGACTCAATAAAGGCACATCAATTTTGACAGCATTACGTTCCTCTCGTGAAGACGCGTCGAATGACTTACAATTTTAGTTTTAACTTAAAATGTCATTTTGAAAAGTTGACCTCAGGGTCAGGCCAAGGTCATGATCTGACCGGAAAAAGTTAACATCCCCCTGGTTTGGCGCGAGTTTAACGAGATTAATTTTGCAAGAATCGAGTTACCCTTGTCGATATGCGACCATTTAACTATGATTCGACTTTAAAAGGTCAGCTTGAAACTTTGACCTGAAGGGAGGGATCTGATTCTGACCGGAAACAATTATGTTACTGACCAGTCAGTTGGTCAGATGAGCATAATACAAGGATTTTTCCTCACTCTATATTGTAGCATGTAGAGTGATGCTACAACTACTTAGCAAAAGTCGTTGCCGGAAACTGCTGGTGATCTTTCATGACCTATGACAGCCTCAATGGTAAGAAAATGCCGTCAAGTTACGAGTACGATTTTCAAAAAACGGAAGTAGAACATATAAAACATAAAGCAAATGTGTAAGTAATAAAGCAATCATTACTGCTGCCTAGTGCAACTTTTATAACCGAAACTGTTTATAGACCAATAAGCTTGACATTGTGAGGTCATGAATTGAGCTGTAACTAACCTAATGTTAGGAAAAGAGATAAATGTTAATGTTAATGTTAAATGTTAAGAGATAAATGTTAGATGTAGAACTCGGTGAGCTAGCACATCCCACAGAATTGAAAGAAATCAGTACAACCCTCAACCCTGTGGACCGGACAGTTAGAGATCATTAGAGTTTAGAGATCAGAGATTAGAGATCATTCAATTTTTCCCTGGGTATGTATCAATTTCTGTGACCTGTTAACCTGACATTAAGGCACCGGGACTCGACTTTTAGTGCATGAATAGAATGAATCATATTTCGGCAGCGCACCGTCCCACCGTTTTGGGTCTCAGCCAACTTTGCCGAGGTGGAGAGCCGAAGCCACAATCCATCATCTCGAAAATTATTAAAAAAAAAAAATGGTAAGGTACAGATAAAAATAGCCATAGCTGTTAACGAGTAAGTTCAGACGCATTCGTATACTTTTGACGAGGTCAAAATTGAGGTCACCGAAAGCCTTGAACGGTCAAATTTTCCTTATTTCGACATTTTTGGACACAAAAGCGTATAACTCTTGGGCCAACAAAGCTACAGTGTCGCGAAAAAGCGCATTCCACCTGTTCTTTGATTTTGGTTTTGGCTACGAATACCTATGGCCTAAGATCACCGGCTGTGCCCCAGATGGCAAAGCTGTCAAAATCGATGTCATTGTTGAAAGTTTTTTATGTTTTCTTTTTATTTGAAGCCTTTGCATCAATTCAATACGTATTGTATTTCTACCGACCAGACGTGTCGAATTAAGGAGGATGATTCTTGCATGAAACATCCAGAACACATCACATCCTTGCTTTTGCTCGCTTACAAAATAGGTATACCTATTTTGTAAGCGAGCAAAAGCCATAGGTATCACGCCATAGGTATCCTAGGTACACATAGGATCACCATAGGTATACTTATGGTGATCGCTGGCACAGCCGGAGGTCACGCTCAGGTCTAGTGAGAAACATTACGCAGTGGTTTGTGGAGAGTGCGACCTCAGAAGGTGACGTGGATTTGTCTAGTTCGTGAAAGCCAGTCACTGCACGGCGTTCGCTGTGTTTCGTGGCTTAGCTAGGCTTCGTCAGTACGATCCTGCAGATAGCAGCACTGGCGGCGGGCCCTCAGCGTGGCTAGATGGCGCTGGAGAGGAGAAAAATCGGCACCTATCGGCGAACACCCACAGATGACAGAGAACGGACATAGACAAGGAATCATGCTCCAAACAAAGGAGCCCATGATCCCTCATATCTACCCCAAGGACACAGCTTTCCTTCTCCTTACGACCCAAACAACCCATTCCGAGGTCACCGGCATCCGACGGATACAATACAGGCAGAAGCTCCCACCGGATAAGCCTTTGTGCAGTCTGTTGATCGTCATTCGGTACTGTCGGTGGGTGGACTGTCTCTTGGGACGGGCTCAGCCGCGGCGGAACGGCACGGCACACCATGTCATGGCGGCCGCTCAGACCAATGTCCTCTCGTACGAGTACCTATGGCTTATATCCAGCTGCCCTGCAAATGGTAACACTAGACCGAAGGACCAAATCCATTGCTAAACAAAACAAATGAAAGAAACAGCTACGCAATAGTTACTGCATTGACAATGGTAAGATAACTAACTTTTATATGCCGAGGATCATCAGATACATTCTGCTCACATTCCAAGCAAAAATGCAAATAACTAACCAGTAACTAACCAAATAAGTAACCAGTGGGGCGACTAACGGAGCGAGCGAGAGGGTGGGCCTTGCACGTGCGAAATTTCGAGGGGGAGCCTCCAACTGATTTGTGCACGGCACCTTACTAGCCGGTCTCTAGGGATGTGCCAAATTTGAGCACAATCGGCCCAGCCGTTCTCGAAATCTGGAAGCGGCACCCTGCACGTGCGCACGTGCAAAATGGGTCCCAACTGACTTGTGCACGGCACCCTACTAACTGGTCCCTAACCGTGTACCAAATTTGAGCGCCATCGGTCCAGCCGTTCTCGAGATCTGGAAACGACCCCTGCACGTGCGCACGTGCAGCAGCACCCCAACTCTGGCACATGGATATGCATTGCCTAGTGGGTGCCTACCTACGTGCCAACTTTCAGCGCAATCGGCCAAGTAGTTACCGAGATATTGCAACAATTACAAAACTGACACCTCTTCGTTTTGCGCGTGGCACGTGCATAAGGGGTCACCCACATGCATCGGGAATAGTCCAATACTCGGTAGAAGGAATGAAGCTACCCTACAAAAATTACCGCGTGTAAATCGGTCAAGTGGTTGCTGAGATATAAGCCTCGCAAAAGCGTCCGCACGGCCGGCCGGCCGGCCGCTCATACTCAGAAATCTCCGTTAATCTAAGGAAAGACTCCGCTCGCTTCGCTCGCTCCGTAATAAGTAGGGGAGAGTGGGGCAAAGCGGCCACCCTAACGCTTCTCACGGTGCCAATGCTTGATTTTTAAACTTGGAAAGATTCTTTCTATACCAATGTGATCCCTATTAAGTTGCCTTTCATTTCAACTGCGTTTTATTTCCAAAGGCGTTCACATATGGAAGATATTGACAAAACTTTAAACCTATGCATATTGGCCACTTTGCCCCATACCCTGGGGCAAAGCGGCCACCGGCGTCTTCTCAAGTCCCAATATGAGAAACAAAATATTTGCCTCATGTACGACTAGGGTATTTGATGGTGACAAGGTTTAAGCGAGGATGGATGTTTGCTTTGTTAGCATCCCACCTGTAGGTAAACAAAGAAAGGATTTTCATGAAAAAAACATTTAATGGCATTATTTGGTAACTCATGCAACTGAAAAGTGGCCAAGATGAATGCATGACGACACATTTGAATATAAATAATGTTTTTTATCCAGATGGAAACAACTTATGGCCAATTGGGGGGTGGCCACTTTGCCCCGGCCACTTTGCCCCGCGTATACCGTCCGAGACAAAAATATTCCAGCTTAGCTATTAGTGGGGTAAAAAACATTAAAATTGGTAGAATACATGTACGATAACAATGCAATGCATGGACAAGAACGCTTATAAAAATTCCAAACGGTTATGAAATAACATAACATTTAAAAATTGTAAACATAGTTGGTAACCTGGCAAGAAATGCTTTTCTGTGTTTCACAGAACAATGGTGATGGGCCTGAAACCCCGGTCTGGCTCATTCGAACGACCGTGAAGAGAAGTATAATTGGAAACCATAAATTGGAACTGACGCCAGCTATGAAGGGCTAAAACGATGGGTGGCCGCTTTGCCCCGGGTGGCCGCTTTGCCCCACTCTCCCCTACCCTTGACCTTCTCTCGCCTTGGCTTCTACTTCATTATTTAAGCATTTCTCTGAAAGAGCGAGATCATAGATATATCCGGTCTCCATATCCACAGAACTAACTCTAAATAACTCGTCTAAATACTCGTCTCGTCTCGTCTCGTCTAGAAATTACTCGTCTAAATCCCTGATAACAGCTCTCTCGGCAGGCAGCTGTATGTAGCTG